GAAAAATAACCAACATTTCATGATACTGAAGAGATGGTTCAATAGTTAAGAACACTGGTTGCTCTTCCAAAGGACCCAAGGTTAATTCCTAGCACCCACATGATGGCTCACAACCATTTGTAACCTTAGTTTCAGGGGACTCCATGTGCTCTTTCTGGCCTCTAAGAGCACCAGACACACACATGATGAATGCACAAGCATGTTTATAGGCAAAAGGCTCATATGCAATATAATATATACATATACACATATACATATATACATATATACATACGTGTATATATGTGTATATATATACATATATATAATGATTTAAGTAATTACTAAAAATAAAAATGAAAGAAAGCTATCCAGTCAGCAATGCCCGTAGCATATCCCCACTTGGGAGGGCCAGTTGCAGCTGGCAGGAAGAGCCAGTCCTATTGGCCTAGCCCTGGACAGCTGATATTTTGCACATGATTTTCTTCTTCTAACTCTCAGAGACCTTAAAAAGTTGTTTACTACAATGTGAATAATTTTAAAAAAGAAAGAAAGACAGCTACCTAGCATCTCTTTATCTGGAGTCCCAATGTCTTATTTTAAACGTAATGTCCTGCAGAGCTGTGCCATTTGCTACTGAGAATAAAATGACATCAATGTTTTCCCTTTTTTCCAGTACTTAGTGGCTACTGGTCAAGACTGGAGACTTCACCAGACTGGTTACTCAACTTCACTACCTGACATGTATCTCTATAGTCCAGCAGTTCTCAACCTGTGGGTCATGACCTGTATGGGGTAGAATGACTTTTTCACAAAGGTTGCCTAAGGCAATCAGAAAACTTAATGATTCATAACTGTAGCAAAATTACAGTTATGAAGTAGCAATGAAAATAATTTTATGGTTGGAGGTCAGTACAACATGATAAACTGTATCAAAGGGTCCCAGCATTGGGAAAGCTGAGAACCACTGCTGTAGTTCCTTTGTAATTCTCCACTTCCTAGTTAAATTTTTAAAAATCTATTGTTTGAACATTTTATTTACTTCTCTTTTATGGAAATTCTTCTAGGTGATAAGCTAAAAAGCAAGCTTAGGAATTTGGGAGATTATAGTTCAGTACCATTTTTTTCTAAAACCTAGATCTGCATTTGACAGAAAATGTAATTAAAAATATGTGCTAGGCATGGTAGTGCATTATTCCAGTCCTAGCACCAAGGAAACTGAGTGGATTTTGAGTTCAATACCAACCCAGGCTACATAGTAGGACCTTGTCTCAAAAGGCAAAAGGACAAAATAAAAGTAAGTGTGTGTGTGTGTGTGTGTGTGTGTGTGTGTGTGTGTGTGTGTGTTAAGCCAATTAATGGCTGAATTCTAAACAAAATATCAATGAGGAAAATGAAATAACATGGAGCAAAGCTCACTTTCTGCTTATTTAAATGAGAAGTGATTTATAGGGACTTGATAGACTTTGATTGTTGGCCAGCAGGTTGGTTGGCTAGTGGCTTGACACCTGGCTGCAGGACTGGCCTGCTGTCTAGCTATGCTGTGGTGTAGTTTTTCCCAAGCTCTGAAACTGTGACACTGCAGTGATTTCTGAAGAACACACCTTTCTCGTGGGGCTGGAGGAAGGGTAAAGGAGATAAAACACTTCAGGGGTGCCTCAGACATTGTAGGACTCACTGCTAGTGTGGTTTGAATTAGATGTCTCCTTAGTCTTGAGTATTTAAATAATGGGCCTCCAGTTGGTAGTGCTGTTAGGAGAGACTTGGGGAATGTGGCCTTGCTGGAAGAAATATGTCAGTGGAGATAGGCTCTTGGAGGCGAAAGCCTTGCACCATTCCCTGTGTGATATCTCTACTTCCTGTCCAGCCATGGTGCCTGCCAACTGCCAGGTATCCCCTCTGGGATGGTTCCCTGTGGAACCATAAGTCCAAATATACACTTCCTGCTCTAGTTGTCTTGATCATGGTGTTTCATCACCACAATAGAGAAGTAACTGAGACAGCTAGTATGTTCAGCATTCATAGCAGAAAAGTATGGGGATGTAGTCCAACAGTAGAATGCTTGCTTAGCATGCATCAGACCCTATGATCAATCCCCAGCACAAGGAAAACAAAGCCAATTTAAATTTTAAAAAATTAAAGCAGATAAAAGAAAACTAAACATTATTATTATTATCATTATCATCACCGTCATCATCTGAACAAAACCAGTCCCCTCTTAATTTGAATCCTTCAAACACATTTCCCTGCTGCAGATGCATCTATTGTAGGCCAAACGCACGCATGCTAAGAGTGAGGCAAAAACATGAGGGAAACATGAAAGCACACACAGAAATCCCATTTTCCCTCAAAAGATTAAGATTTAATCCCCACACCTTTCTTCTCATTGCCTTGCCATTGCAGGGCTCATTAGGACAGCCGTTTTCCCTGTGCAAAATTGGGGCATGATGAATTCCTCTTTGACATGGGTGATAATGGTTCCCCAGGTGTGTAATTTGTAATTATTTGCTAACCTAAATGCTAAATAGTGTGTGTCTGTCTGTGTGTGTATTAAATGTGTTCATGTGTGTGTGGGCACATTTATATGTGTGTAAACACTCATAACAACTCAAATGCATGTGAAAGCCAGAGGCAAATGTACCTTTCTCTGTCAATCTCTATTTTTTGAGACAAAGGTTTTTCACTGAACCTGGCATTTAATGACTGGCTAGACTGACTGGCCAGAGAGCTTCAGGGGTCCATCTGTCTCCACTATCTAACTCTGGGGTTACACACTTGGGGTGCCATAGCTGCTCTTCCAAGCAAGGGTCCTGGGACTCTGAACTGATATCCTCATGTTTACATGGCAAAAAAATTACATAATGAGCCCACATAAGGGAAAAGGCAGTAGGCTACATCAGCTGGTCTATATGAGCAAACTGAAAGACACAAGCAATACAAGGTCTTGGTGGCGAAAAAGAGGGGCTGTTTTCTCAAGTCACACACTGGTCAGCTATTTCAACAAGTTAGGAAATACTTTATTTTTTTACTAGTTAACCAGTCTGTGCAGATATACACTGAAGCTAGGAAGTTTCTATTTCACATGCTAACTCTGTGTCATGTGAGGCCAACACTAGGAACAAAGGACTCTCTCCAACAGTGTTTTCATGGACCTTGATTCCTAGAACCACTCTCTGCAAATGTCCAGGCCCTGTGTCTTCGCCCTCTGTAACGAGTACAGGTTTTTCCGCCTGCCGCCCGGTCTTGTCCTGCAGCTGCGCCAGCCCCAAATAATACACAGAGACTCTGTATTTGATACAATGCTGTTGGCCCTGTTACTTGTTTCTTATCGGCTAGCTCTGCCTTAATTATTAACCCATTTCTGCTGATCTATGTATTTCTCTTACCGGGGAGCCGGCGGCATACTGCTTTCTTCAGACTCTCCATCTTGACTCCTCCTTCCTCCTTCCTATTTTTTCCTTGTCTCCTAGTCCCTCCTATCTTTCTTTCCTATTGGCCAACAGTGCTTTATTATTAACCAGTATGAGAAACATATACAGAATGACATCTCCCATCATCTCCTCTTTTCTGTTTAAATAAAAAGAAGGGGTTTAACCTTAACACAGCAAAATGTATAACACAACGGTTATCCAATAAGAATCACAGTTAACAATATTTAGTCCATTAACATTTAGCAAGATTAAAGGAAACTATTCTATCATCTATCCTATATTTGTGAATCTAAAGTCCTATATGTATCTTATCTTTAAACCTAACTAAGGAAAACTATAACCATAACTATTTGTCTTCAACTCCATCAAAGACCACAGAAGGATAGTATATAAACTCTAGATATGACAGAGACATCTTGCTTTGTCAGTCACCTGAAGTTCTATTGTAATCTTCCATCTTCAGCCCATAGGCCATAGTGTGTCTGGCAGACTCTTCAGCCAAGCAGGAAACTTTAAACTGTCTTCTTGTATTGGCAGTTTGTCAGTCACTTTTCTCTGTGTCCTGCATACTGTCTCACAGACTCTTCCATAAAGCAGGATCTCTGTAGCAATGTCCATCGTGAATCAGGAGTCACTTTCCTGTGGGTCCTGCATGTCCAATTTATACATCATAAAGTCAAACAGTCCAGACAAGAGCAGTAGCCTTGTCCAAAAGGCTAGTCTTGCTATATTGAAAGCAAACTTCATAACACGTTTTTTCTATGTCCATCTTCCTTTCTGGTGCAGGTGGTATTGCCAAGAGCAATTATGTCTCACTGTCACGAAAACCCTAAACCATTTTAAATGCCATATTCTGTAGGTCTTTGAAAGGTTTGAAGAATGCCTATCTATCTCAGATACATCTCTGTGTATCTTGAAAACCTAACTAACTTAACTCTAAGCTTTGACTATCATAGGTAATTATCTATAATCTGTATTGAATTATATATTACATTTCTAAATGAGCTATATAAACACAATACCTAAACAAAAGGAGAAATATATATCTCACAAAATTGACATTAAATTGTATCAATAAATGAAAATCCATTCCAAAACAAAGTAATCATATCTAAGGCGTACGGTTTTTTCCGCCTGCCGCCCGGTCTTGTCCTGCAGCTGTGCCAGCCCCAAATAATACACAGAGACTCTGTATTTGATACAATGCTGTTGGCCCTGTTACTTGTTTCTTATCGGCTAGCTCTGCCTTAATTATTAACCCATTTCTGCTGATCTATGTATTTCTCTTACCGGGGAGCCGGCGGCATACTGCTTTCTTCAGACTCTCCATCTTGACTCCTCCTTCCTCCTTCCTATTTTTTCCTTGTCTCCTAGTCCCTCCTATCTTTCTTTCCTATTGGCCAACAGTGCTTTATTATTAACCAGTATGAGAAACATATACAGAATGACATCTCCCATCAGCCCTCTCCCCACTGCCCTTAGCATTCATGACATGTGTATGGTTTAGCGAGAGCTCTGGTTTATGAAATGCCATGAGATGGTAAGAGAGGACTCATCTTTGTTGTTAACCAGCAACTTTTGGTTTTTCAGCGCCGACTGGGAGATGCAGCAAAGAAAGCCATCAGCAAGCTCCAGGTCAGGACCATCAGGAAGGGCGACAAGGTGAGAACAGCTTTTCCTTTGGGTGAAGACATAGTCGACAAAACTCTTGTCTTTTCTAACAGCCAAAGTAGGAGAAGAATGGAAAGGGTAAACCTGTGCTGTCTACACGTATCTGGTACTTAGAATGTTTTTATTAAACATATTAAGTATTTATAAAATACATGCAATCTATTGGCAACCGAACTTGAGGAAGTTTGAAGTTAAGCATGAAACTATAGCCAAGTTGTACTGTCAGCATCAGCTGCCCATCAGCAAATGAATGGATAAAGAAAATGTGAAGTGTATGCACGATAATAAATGGAACTAGTTGTCATCATATTAAACAAAACAAGCCAGGGGCAGAAAGATGATGTATCACTTTTTCTCTCACATGCACAATCCAGAATTTACAAAAGGACTTAGAGGTAGAAGGGTTCCCTACTTGAGAAAAAGAAGAGCCCAGGAAAGGATGGGAGGACAGGAGAAGTTAGTGAAAAGTGAAAGAGTGTGAGACACATGCATGAGAGTGTCACCGTGAAACAATGGAGGAGTGTGACACTGTGAAGATGTCACAGTGAAGCCAGCATCATGTACAATAAATTCATACTTTAAAAGGTGTGCAAGTGGCCAGGTGTGGTAGCTCACCTCTAAGCCCAGCACTGAGAAAGCTGCAGCAGGTGGATTTCTGGGGATTCCAACCCAGCCCAGTCTACATAGTGAATCCCAGACTAGCCAGAACTACACAGACCCTGTCTCAGAAAAACAGAAACTACAAGAAAGCATTTAAAGCCTGGGGGATGCGAGTCCACAAAGGTGTTCCTTGACCCAGGTGACAAAAACTGGTCTTCAACATAGGTTGAAGCTGTCTAGCAGCCAATACAGAAAGAAAAACAGGAAAACAAAAGCTCAATATTTCAATCAGTGTTTGCTTACATTATTCCAAGTGATTCACAAATAAAAGCAGAGTAGTTACTCTTAGTATGACCCTGTGGAAGTTTTTCCAAAAGTCCTGGGAAAGAGAGCTGGACTCTTCATGTAAATTTAGAGTAAAAATGTGTAAGTGATAAATTTAGCTCTTCTGGACTCTAGGTCTTAGAATCCTAGTCATTGCACCAGCCTCCCTCACTGTAGAAGGGTGACAAGAAATCAAAGGTCCTGATACACCTCTAGGAAGGACGGAAAGGCAGCACAGTCCAATCTTAAGGCCTTTAAAGGCACCCTAACACCCGGTCCTTAAGAACAATGGATTACAATACAACATGCAGGTTTAGCATCCCCTGAAGATTTGGTAATAAATTCACACTCAAATGGACATCAGGTGTTTTCTCTGCTCTGAATAATTGATTTTTCTCACAAATTATTTGCTATCAGTTTAAATAATATGGAAATGCTGTTGAGATTGGCAAGAGACAGTTCATTTAAAAGGATAACCAAGAGTGTGGGAAGATACCTCGGTTGGTAAAATGCTTGCCCTGACTGAGTTTGATCCCCAACCTTCACAGAAAAGTCAAATATGGTGACACTTGTAGAGATAGAGATTGGAGGATTCCTGGGGCTTGCTGACCAATCAGTCAAGCCAAGCAGGAGAGCTCTAGTTACCGTGAGAGACTCCATCTCAATAGTAATCATAATAATGATGATGATGACAATGACAACAATGATAATGATGATGAGAACAGTTCTAATGCACACACAAGTGCCCTCACACATACACACACACACACACACAACAACAACAACAACAACAAATTTAGAAGTAGCATTAATTTTCATCCGTTTCTTTCCCCCTCAACCAGAGAGTGGAAAGTGCAGCATGATAACACAAGTAAACCACAAGGTGCCTCTTTTAGGTTTGCATACAGAAAAAAAAATCAAAACTCCATTTGCATTTACACTTAATATACACTTTAGATTCCAGAGGACCGAGCACATTATAAATCCTTCAGATGAACATCATTACTCACCCTTGAGACTTTGGCATCACCTGTAATTGTCATTTACAACATTTTGGGAGCTGCACATGGGAATGAAGTTTACCTCACAAAAGCTCTTGGAGTGGAAACAACACATGAAGGTTGGGAGGGATGGAAAGTAAGCCAGTTGATGAATTATTGATTAAGTAGATCAGTAATGCTGCTAAGAGGCTGGCTCCAGGCAAGCTTGCCTTTGGTTAATGACAGTGTTTGCTCAGGATGGAAGCTAAAGTCAGCTCTTCTGTTTCTGTTGCAGGAAACAGAGTCTGATTTTGACAACTGTGCCGTCTGCATCGAAGGGTACAAGCCCAATGATGTGGTCAGGATCCTGCCCTGCAGGTGAGTGGTGGGGCTGCCTGCTCTGGTGCAGAGGGGCAGAGTCCTCTGTGCAAGCATTGCAGACAAGTAAACGCTACTGATTTTGTAACTTCTGTCCTGGAAAACATGCAGCCACATGAAAGTAGAAGCCTTTCTTACCACCCTGTCATTGCATGAAAGGCAGACCTAACAAGACAGAATGAATGCATGCTGTGTATGTGAGGCAGCACTGTGGATAGCTTGGTAATGCTCCAAATCGTTTCTGGCTTTTACTAGTGCTATTTTAACTAAAATAGCAAATTCTAAAAAAGATGCTGTGAAAGGTCAGAACACACTCAGCAGTAGGCAGGGAGCGGAGGGGGGGGGAACAGATTCCATTTCCCTTGCAGTTTACCAGTGGAAAGACAATGTGTCCAATTCCCCCAGAATTCTAGAATCTCAAGGAACATTCTAGCATGCAGACTTGGGGAAACTTCCCCCCAAATGATGCTCCAATCACTTTAATTTTTCTCCCTAAGTGTAAGTTAGAATACCTGACATTTTCTTTGAACATCCTAATTAAACTAAGTAAGTTAGAGTTGCATAAGAGCCATAGCCTCACAGAAAATCTCTTTTTAGTTGCATCTAGGCAAGTGTCCTAAAAATAAAAATGTAATTGCCTCAATGAAAGGTACTTCATGTAGAGAAAATGGCTTGAAATATTCTTAAGTTTAAAAGCATATTACACAGAAAAGGGCATAACATGAAGATATCAACAGTCTATTGCTTTCCCCAAACAATACAAATTTTAAAACTATGTGTTAGAAATAGAAACAGAATAAAATAGCATTTGGGGAATTGGTTTAATAATCTCTAGATGATGAAGTGACCAAAAAACAAATAAAAAGACTGGATGCTAGATAGAACTCAGCATCTCTCAAGAGATCTTTCTTGAAACACTCATAGCTATTGGCCGTTAACAGTTTGAGAGTAAGAATTCTCTCCACCAGAGAGCCAGCAAGTGTGATTCAATTGTCTCACTTTCTACATGCCCAACTGCCCCTAAGTGGAACCACAAATGGGGTCACATCGAAGCTTAGCAGTTTCCTGTGGATGAACACACTCTGAGTAAATTTGAATGCATTGATTCACTTATTTGGGGGATGGTACACAAGCCTCAGTATGAGTGTAGATATGAGAGGATAGTTTGTGGGAGCCGGCTCTCTCCTATCATGTGGGTCCTGGGAATGGAATTCAAGTCATCAGGCTGTATGGCAGGCACCTTACCCACTGAGCTGTCTCACTGACCTGTAATTACATCTTTCTGGACATCACAGTGTGCATGCAGTGACTTCCAGAAGTCTTTCTGGAAATGGTAGCATGTAGACACCAGGGATCCCCTCTGCTCCCATCTTATTTTAAGGGATTAAAGCTCCAACCTCAGAAGCAGCCAGGTGTTTCTCCTCTTCGCATGGTTCCTACTGACACTCCATCATAATGAACAAGATCTGGTTCCAAAGATTATATGTACCATCTCCTTAGCTCTTCAGCTCATACTGTATAAAATAATTTACTCATCTACAGCTTTACCATAACTACATTTTATGGATCTATGTGAAATTGCTGGAGACTTGAAATTGTATAATCACAGTGTGATTTCATATATCCTGTTTTAGTGTCTACTTATGACAAGTTACATTTCTTTAATAACATTTATTTTTTCTTATTAATGCAGATATCCTTTATAATATAGTTATTTGGAAATATTAATCAAGAAAACAGTATTTTACTGCATACTATGAAAATGAACACTTTTGGAAGCTCAGTGTTATTGATACTAACCTCACTCTGGGCTGCTCAGTTTGGCTTCAGGTTCCTCCTTCTCTATGCAATTGGTTATTTCCAAGCCCACACATTGATTTTTTTCCAATATAATATTTGTGTTAATCCTTGGAGAATTCCATATATGCATACAATGTATTTTTATCATATTCACCCCCATCCTTCCCTCAACTCCTCCAGGGTCCATCTCATTCTTTCTCAACTTCATGTCCACTTTTTCTTCACAACTCACCAAGTCCAACTTATACTGTCCATATATCTGTGAGTATGGAACCATCTGCTGGATCTCTAGTGACCTAGTAAGGACCAAACCCTTACAGAAAACTTTCCTTTCCCCAGAAGCCAGCTGTCCATAGCCCCTCATTTAGAGGCTGTCCTCCTGAGCCCCTCCCATCCCTGAGGAATGCTGACTGGCTTGATCTTGTGTGGTCTTGATTAGGCAACCTCAGCTGGAATTCCTGAGTGCAGTGATGCTGTCATGTCCATAAGACACTTCTACTCCTTTCTTCTCTGAACACTTGCATCTTAGTCTTCCCACCTCTTCTTCCATGATGATCCCTGCACCTTGGGAGGAGGGGGTCACATACTAGTTCTTTGCTCTTCAAGGCCCTTACTCTCTGGTGCTATTTTCTTAGTGTGGATCTTGCTTTAAATGATAAAATGCACCAAGATTTATAGTTAATTACTGTTCTGTCTTACACTAGTCCACTAGTCACACATATGCACCCCCTGAATATCTCATGTGCTTTTTCCATGGTAGATTCAAAGTCAAGGTACTTGGATGGCTGCTGTTGGCTTCTTGCAGGCAGTGAGCACTAATGGATGCTATCAAACAGATGTAGGAGCATTGCTTCTTTGCTCAGTCATTCCCTCTGGGGTACCCTTAAACATTCCCTTCTGTAAAAATCATAAACTCGCTTTCCTAGTATTTCCAGTCTAATTCGTCCCTGGAATTGATTGTATCTCCTTGAAGTAAAAGCTATTTCAAAAATTATCCCAAAGAATACTAAGTCTCTCCTTTAAAATTGTGTTCTGTGGCCTCACAATCCCTGAATGCTGTTTGCATCTCCTCCACTGTTTGGGTACCTTTCCCATTGTCTATGTATGTACTTATACCATGATAGTTTCAGAATTGTCCTATTGTTTTCCTTCTCTGAGAACTCTACAGGAGTTACAATAAATAAGTAGTCTTCCCTTCTCATCTGTCATCATGGTGATTATCAAAGTGAAGTCACATACATTTAGTCCATTTCTTTCTTTCTCCTCTTTCTTCATCCAATTCTTCCCTAACACATGAACACAAGGCTTCATTGATGTCAGCCTGGACCTGTGCCCACAATGTGAGGGGCAGACATGCAGTGGCATGCACTGCCAGTTGGTGACAGGATGTTCTAACTTTCGTGATTTGGATTCAATCCCAATGTACCACTAAGGCATTTTCCAGGAAACTCAGTTTTGCTATGTCATACACATATCAAGATGTGCCAGTTGCTGTGTTTTGGGGTGGACTTGTGACTTAGGCTAGAGCTTGTGGTTATGATTCTTAGCTACACGCTGATCTTACTGTGTTCTCCTGTGAAGAGTACAGGTAATGCTCTCTGCTTCTTTTAACCTGTACCTTCCCAACTTGTTTTTCAATAGTTATTCATCTCAGTCTAGTTAACTGTTCAAGTTCAAAGGCACAAAGTATCAAGAAGAAAATGGATTCCTTAGGTGGATCAGAGTCCACATTTGCCTATGTAAAAAGCAAAACGATATGTTTTTCTTGCCTGTGTGTCCCTGTAAAATTCTTTCCTATCTATAATTTATCACCATCTGGTGAGGAGATTATTGTGTTTTCCTTTAATTTGGCATACTCCTCCACAGTTGGGGATAACTTCAAGAGTACCCTTGTAATAAGCAGGTTTTGTGACAAGCTTTGTAGTACATGAGAAACTCTTTTGAAACAATAAATATTTTATGGTAGGGACACTAGGAGGTACCACATATGGGATGGTAGTGGTGTGACCTCATGGGAAATAGGAATCTCAATGGATAATCAGAACACATCATGATATGGATATCCATAAGTACAAATGTCTGTAAATACTATGGGGCTAATACCAGGCACAATGATTGAGAAAGGCTTTGTAATCAATTAACCAATCAATCAATAGGAGGATGGGAAAAAGAAAGCATCTCTTTGGTTTATTTTTCCTTTTTAAACATTTATTTTTATTATATTTTATGTATATAAGTGTCTTGCCTGCGTGTATGTCTGTATACCACGTGCCCATATAAGTCAGAAGAAGGTGTCAGATCCCCTGGAATTGGAGTCATGGGCAGTTGTTAGCCCCCATGTGGGTGCTGGTAACTGAACCTGGGTCTTCTGTAAAAGCAGCCAGTGCTGTTACACTGACCCATCTCTCCACTTCCAATATCTCCTCATACTTTTTTAAAAATCTTTTTTTACAGCCAACCACAGTTTCCACTCTCATTCCTTCCCCTCACTTCCTTTCTACCCGACCCCATCCACTCCCCAGAAAGGGTAAGGCCTCCCATGGGAGTCAACAAAGCATGGCATACCAGCTCCTCCCCACTACATCAAGGCTGAGCAAGGCATGGCACCATAGGGAATAGGTTCCAAACTCTTCATACTTTTAAGTCGGGTTTGATCTATCTTGCATACATATTCTCATTATAGAAATGTTTTATAGAACAAAATATCTAAATATCTACTTAGTTCTCTCATGCAAGTAACCACTACTGTCATTTTCATGTTTCTTCCCTTTGCTTTCTCATCCTCAGTTTTGCAAGTTGGAAGTATTGTTGTCAACATCATTTGATATCCTGTTCTTCCTTACCATTGTAAGAATTTTCCAGAAAGAACACTGAGTTATTTGTGGCTCGTTTTGACCTTCCTTTGGACTCTGAAGCAATAACCAGACATTATCAAGCTCTTGCTTGCATAAATCACCCAAAAACCTTGGGGTTCCAAGGCTTCTGTAGAAAAAGACTTGCCAGAATTTTCCACTGAGGTAAACCATGAATGCACCCCACTTTGCTGGAGCTTAATTCTTAGTAATCCACCGGGGGAGGTGTTCTCATTCACATTCCACCCCCACAGACATGCCAAAAAGCAGCTTCTCACACACAGATGCTCTTGTCCATAGAGATCATGTGACCCGCTGGCTTATTACCATCAGGGGCTGATTACTAAG